CTGTTCCTGCTCTTTCATGGGAGAAGTAAAAGGTACCAATAGACTCTGTGAGCTGCAAGGTCATCTGTGTCCTGGTGTATATTTTTCCTGAGCCTAGGGGGGAAAATCACAGTACACAGGAAAATTATATATGTGAAAAATGCACTAATTTGGAAGTGCTTCCCATTTTTCAGACATGAGACTTTGGAAGGGTTATATAGCCTGATTCCTAGTTTTTCTTACTATAAAATATTTATATATAGTTCATTTTTCTACATAACACCCCCCCCCCATCACAGTGGTTACAGTAATAGTAACAGATTATCCTCACTCAAGATACATGTCTGCTGATGTGTTGCAACTTTACCCCAGCAAGGTCCCATGTTTCTCACTCCGGGGCCTAGACTAAAAGATCCCTGTGTAGGGCTGGCTCCTTGTCATGGATGAAAGAAAGTATAAGAGAGCTGCCTTTTAGAGCTTCTGCACAATGTCATCATTCCACTAGTTAAAGAGAATACTAGCCAAGGCCAGCATCCATGGAGTACAGAAGTTTATTCCTCCCACACCCAGTGAGCAAATCCCATAATACACTCAGAGGGAAGAGAGAAGTGAATAGAAAATGATAATAATATCTACTCATCTCTGCAAACATTTGAGTCTCAAGTAAGAAAAGTTATATAAAAGTGCATTGTAACAATGTATTTTCTACTGATGTTAGAATTGCTATTGTTATAGTTTAATGTTATCTATTTCAGGGATCCAAGTAGATTTCAAGTCCTTACATATCATTAAAACTTCTCACTTCTCTATTTTTACCGTAAACATTTGAAAAGCTTTTAACCATCTTGATTTTTCAAAAGCTGTGTTTTGCCTTTTTTGCGTTCATGTTTTAAAAATGCCACAATTATAATTTAATATATTTATTTTCCACTATAACTGTATTAAAACCATTTCAAGAATTTTTTATTGCAGTGGCTCAGGAAGCTGAGGCAGGAGGATTGCAAGTTCAAGGCCAGCCTCAGCAACTTAGCAAGGTCCTAAGCAACTTATTGAGACCCTGTCTTAAAATAAAAAGCAAAAGAGATGGTGATGTAACTCAGCAGTAAATCATCCCTGGGTTTAATCCCCAGTACCCCCCTAAAAGGTCCGGTTTTTTCTTTCCTTCCTTCGTTCTTTCCTTCCTTCCTCCCTTCCCTTCCCTTCCCTTCCTTCTTTCCTTTCTTCTTTAGTTTTTTTAACAATTAAAGTAATAAAATTCCCTTGTAAGAAATTTAGAAAATTTTGGAGGGATAAAGAAGTTTAAAAAGACCCCCCTTTTTAAATCCCTGCATTAATATACAAACACACAAAGGCACATCCATAACATTTTCACATTCAAATACATTCAAATATTAATTTTTACTAAATTTAGCATCTAATGAATACTCTATTGAGACAATTTTCCTGTATGCTATTAAATGTACATTTTTGCTTATCATTTAAGTATTTTAAGGACATGAGTTTAGCAGTTTAATAGGTAACACTAATATATAATATGCAATACATAGTTTCAAAACTCAGTAAGGAACCAGGCCCACTATCTGAATTAAAAATTAGACTACTTCAACACCTTCAAAGTTACTTGCATACTCCTCTGCTGCTGTGCCTTCTCATCAACAATAACCACCCTTAAGTTTGTATGCTATCATTAGTTTCTTTCCTTTTAAGTGTTTTTACATATGTGTATGGCTCCAGTGTATCATTGAATTTTGCTTGGTTTTGAGCTTTATAAACTGGTTTCATACTGCATTGCTTTTTGCTGAGAGCCATAGCCAAGTAGGAATGAAGCATGGTATTTTGGGTTGAAAGGTGACCCTGCTCAGGGATTAGGGTGGCTCCTGGTTTAGGGTGGAACCTACTGGGAATAGGGCGGCTCCAGGATTAGGGCGGATCCTGCTGGGATTAGGGCGTATCCTGCTGCCTCAGGCGCCTGCTCCTTTGGAGTTCCCCTTGAATTCTCCCGGGGTTCTGAGAGAATTGGTGCGCAGAGCCGGGCGGAGGCAGTGTGTTCACAGAACATGCGTGCAGAGTGTCGTGAGAGTTCAGGAATAAAGAGTTGCTGTTTGATCTACAAGGTTGTGTGGTGGCTCGCTTATTTTGTGCCCAGCCAGACTGCGGCACTTTTAATAGTGGGATGCATATTACAAAATTAGCTTAAACTGTCCTCTACTATTACATACTTGCTTTCTGCTCTTTTACAAGGAACTTGTACATTAATATTTGTGTTTTCATATTTTGGGGGGAATAATTTCTAGAGGTGAAATTTGCTGGATTAAAGAGTAAGAACATTTTTAAGATTTCTTCTGCAACTGTACATTAGGAAATGTGTCATCTAGATTTTAATAAAACAAATCTTCAGATTGGCTTGGCAAATAATTATAAATTATACTAGCTTTCCACTTTGATGAGTTCTAAGAATATACAAATATCCCTGTGGTTTATCAAATTTAACAAGTCCTGAACTAAAGTCCTCAGTATTTTTTACTTCCTTAAACCCTGTCCTGTTCTGGTCACACTGGTATCACTGTCCCCTCAGTTCACTGGGCTGGAAACCTTATTCTGTCTGCTCCCCTATTCTACTTCAGCTACCCCACACTCACCCTTCCCCTTAGTCTTCAAGTCCTGCTTGTTATCCCTCTACAATATCCTTTGAAAGCCTCCTTTCTCTTCCCTTCCCTTCTTATAAATACTTCTTATAAATATTCCAATTCAAACCCTGCTATGACAGGGACCACTGCACAGTCTCCTAACTAGTCTTCAACATGTCTTTAGTCTTTTGCTTTTCTAATAAGTCCTTCACACTATTAATTCCTCAAAACATGGATTTGACTTTAAAACTCAAACCAAAAATATTTGATAATATTCCATTAGCCACATGATAAGATCCACATTCCTTAGTTGCTATACGCAAAGCCCTTTATCTATTTCAATCTACCTCTTCGGCTTTATTCTTCATTCTCCATCCTTTCTACCTCACCCCAAGAACTTGGTATTTTATACCTTAGCCAGCCTAGGCTTCATATTCCCTATGTATTTTCCTTGTTCATATTACTTCTTCAGCCTAAAATACCTTTCCTCTCCTCCTCTTTTCTATCCTGTTGAAATGCTACTCATGCTTCAAGATCTCACAGAAATCCCAGCTCCTCCATGGAGTTTAACATCAATGTAAGTTATCTAATTATACATAGAAGAGTTGGATATGGTTGCTTCTTTTGAATGTCAGATGTCAATAAATGCAAAAATATATTTGTTTGTAATACTGGGTAGAAAAAGGAGACCACAAACTATTTTAAACATATCCATTACAATAAATAAAGATATATATATATACACACACACACACACATACATATACACACACACACGCACACACACACACATATATATATATATATGGGGAGATACATACACATGTGTCATATAGATATATATGTGTGTATGTATATGTTATGTGTTTCACATATATATACTTAGAGAGAAATGAGCAAAAACAGAGACTGAACCAGGCACAGTAGCGCACGCCTGTAATTCCAGCAGCTCAGGAGCCTGAGATAGGAGGATAATGTGTTCAAAGCCAGGCTCAGCAAAAGTGAAGCACTGAGCAACTCAGTGAGACCCTTTCACTAAATAAAATACAAAAATAGGGCTGAGGATGTGGCTCTAATTGAGTGTCCCTGATTTCAATTCCTGGTACCCAGGAAGGAGAAGTACTTTTTTCAAAAAATTGATAATAATTTTATTAATAGTATTAGTTTCATTTTCTTTCATAAAGATGCTTACTTGGTCTTAAATAGGTTTCCATTTTGAGACTTAGCCATATTTTGTTCATATGTAGAAGGGCAACCAGTTTCTTATTCTCTGTTTTCCAGTGTTGACTGAGTCGGAAGGGTCTTGTTCCTTTACCAGCTATGTCTACTCATTGTCACAGGTGGTGAATGGTCCCTTCAGCTGTAACATGAAACCAGTGCATTTATAGATGATGCTAAATGGACAAGCTTATAATCTCTAAGTTCCTCTCAGCTCTCATGTTCTGAGATACTTTTTGCTTACAAGACAGTAAAATGGCTTAAGGTTAAAGAAAATGCTGATTTCTTCTATAACTCCCTCACTAGTGTCAAATGGCCATTTTCCCTTTTCTTAACTAAACTGACAGTTTGTTTTATGTGACAATTAGGACACTACTACCCATGTGGACTTATATGTACACCCTCCTGTCACCATGGTGTGGTTTGCTTTTATGACAAGGATGTCTTTTGAGATTTTTTGCAACTTTAATATGTTGTATGAAATTAATAATTTATAATTTAGTTTGAAATACCCAAGAATTTTTTTGTCCTGTAGTCACTAGCCTGTTTCAAAGTTCAGAAATAGAATGAAATTAATTTACAAAATATTTTTCTCTTCACAAAATAATGCAAATAATAAGGTTGAACATCAAAGTATGCAAATAGATATGTGGGATTAATAAATATCCTGTTTCCATCACTTAAGTCAATTTACCATAATGTTTTTCTCTTATCTTGGATATTTCTCAAGTCTCTTAAAATTTTTATCTGTAGTAATATAAACTGAATACCATGAAGATACCTTGTAGAGAATTAAAATGTTGATATAGATTTCAAATCAGAGTAGTAGTAATATTTGAAATATTAGAAATATTTCAAAATATATGAACTCATGAACTCTAGTAATCATACAGACTTACTTTATTAAGAAAGAGACTCAAAACTCTGACTGAAGAAAAGAGCCCCATTGTAATTTCCAAGAGACAAACTAATCCTTGATATATGATATTTGAGTTGAGAGTTGAGAGTTGCTTCTGGCAAACATAATTGTTACTGCTTAAACAAGTATTTCTTTTCTAGTAATTAGAATTTTTTTCATTTTAATGGGTAGTCATAAATATTAACCACCAGCAGTGCAGAAATAATTTATATTCAAATTATCAGCCATCACTCTGTGAACACATAAAACAATTTACATTTATTTAGAACTTTTATTCCTGAAGTACTCTCTACACATATTTCTTTACAGCCTAATTGCAATCTATATATAAGACTTTCCCACCTGAAATAGGGCAGTAGTCAAAGTAATAAAGATAAAGGACACAACATCATAATAAATAAAGAATGAAAAGTAGTTTTTTATACTTTGTTTCTATATGCTTTGTGTCAATAGGACTGGAGAATCCATGTTGACCAAATGCACCAGCACAAAAGTGGAATTGAATCTGCTCTAAAGGAGACCAAGGTATGTAGATTACTTAAATTGAATCAATATCCATTTACTCATCTGTGGGACACCTGTTATGGGAAAACATGAAAGAAAAATAATACAATTTTTGTCTTTCAGAGCTCATTAATTAAATAAATCATATTACATTTCTGCAGTTCTAATACTTAAACCAACTAAAGAAAGCTAACAATGTAAAACCTTTTATATTTTAAATACACTATATATATTGCATATATTCTATATATTACACATATGTATGTAATAGATATTTTAGAAACATTGCATCACTTTGTCCTGAATACCAAGGGATGAGAGAACATCATACCCACAATGCCTAGAACCTACAGCTTTCCCGGGCTTGCTGCCATGCTAGAAATAATCTTTTGGAGATGGTCATAAAGAAGTGAAGCTTGAGTGAAAAGTTATAGGTTCTAGACCAGAGCACTCTGTTTAGAGAACTCTTACAACTGGAATATTCTAGTTATCTCTGAATTGTGTGATAGGGAAGTCACGTTCTTCCCTGACCTACCTTGATTTTAAAGTTTATATAAAGCTAATTACAAATATACATAAATTGTAGATATGTATAAGGAGAAATGAATTTAATCAATCTTGCCAGGCTCTTTTTTATTGTAGCATTCTGCAGTGTGGCAAAAATATTCCTCATCATAAACGTTTTTTTGCCATTAAAGTTTCACACTATCTTCTTTTTCATATGGACTGAGAGATATTTAACTCATTTTTAACTAGTTTTTAAAAATATTTCTGAGTTTTTTAATCCACTAAAAATCCTTGGAATTTTAGGGATTTTTGGACAAACTCCATAATGAAATTAGTAGGACACTGGAAAAAATTGGCAGCCGAGAAAAGTACATCAACAATCAACTTGAGCACTTGGTTCAAGAATATCGTGCAGCTCAAGCCCAGCTGAGTGAGGTAATTTAAAAATTATTTCCGAGGATTTATCCCAATTCATGACTCTAATCTCTAAGCTTGACACGATAGTTTTCATTTGAAAATTATGAAATGTTTTTCATAAATAGCAACACTTTGATTTTTCTGCCCATTTTAGGAAACCAAAAGAAGCAATAGAACTTATCTCCATTTTACATGTATTAGAAATTATTATCTCTTAGAAGTCTTTAAACATATTTTTTCATTTGATTTAAATAAATGAGGACATATGTTGTTGGGGAACATAAGCTAAAACAGGAACAGTGTCAGGACACCTTGTTTTGTTTCTAACTCTGTTGTTAATTTACTATAGGAGTAGGAGGAAGAATAGTATTCATTTATATGTGTCAGAGAGAAAAGGCAATTCTTGCCATCATGGCTTGCAGTAATATAGTGTAGACTATGAAAGCAAAACATGTTCAGAGACAAGCAGGTTAATTAATGAAATGAGACAAATTTTTCATTCTTTCAAAGTATTAGATTTCAACCAAAAAATAAAAATAAAAACACTATCCTTTGAAAGCAGTAGTTCTTTAGACCAGAATTAGGGGTATAATGACTTTCTTTGAGGGATTTATACACCCTATTTCCTAATGTGAAGACAAACTAGTCAGAATACTTGCTCATGTCAGTAGAAGGCATATTTTTTTTTTCTTTTAGCAGACAAATTAGGAGGAGAAAAAGTGGAAGTAAACTTGATATACTTCTATACTCAAAGACCAAATAGAAAATAGTTTTTACTTTTTATGGTATTATCTGTTTAATTTGTCGTTCCCTCATATACACTTATATTTATGAATATTTTTGTTGAATTGATGTGAAATTCTTTGATTATAGCCACCGTGCATCTGTCCAACCTTAATATTAAATAATTATTTGTTAGATTAATTTCTGAGAGTGTATTCCTATTGATTGTACTGTCCTACTCTTTGTTAATCCTTATTAATTTCAGAGTTTGCTCTACTTTGATTGATTTTCTTTTTTAAAACAAAATTTCTCTGCATAACATGCAAATTTGATTGACCAAGAACCACTCTCCTAAACTGTTTAGGGATGGCCGAGGACAGTTTTTATTGTGAACCATGCCCGTGCAAGTTACACAGTCAGTATGTGAAGGTTAAGGTAGTTCATCATTTTATAGTGGTTGAGTTAAATACATGGTGCCTATTAAGGACATAAAATAACTACAGTTAAATGTCACTTTCACAAATGTATTCATAAACAAAGAGGGGGGTTGTCATAAAATGATATGCAGAAATTGCAAACACAAAGAGGTCATGTTTAAGTAATCTGCTTCTGTTTTGGATTTGTCATTAAACAAAATTCTTTCCCCCTCAGGCAAGGGAGCGGTACCAGCAGGGAAATGGTGGAGTAACTGAAAGGACCAGGCTCCTGTCTGAGGTAAACATAGTGCTCTTGCTGTGCTTCTCACCTGTCAGCTGAGCCCCAGTGGCTCAGAGCCATTGGATGATTGAATACCCCTTATTTTAATAATTGTTTCTTCCTCTTCAAATTATCTTGTTTCAGAGAAAAGCCCTAATTTTCTTTTCAATGAATCAATTATTTATTCTTTCTCTCATTTTTATAAGATGCCTGAAGTTAAATTCAACATAAAATTTGCTCATACTAGCACACTGATAACTTTTCTTAATCTTCATTTTTATATAATAATTATAAATAATATATAGAAACATAGGTAAAGTACTGACTGAGGAGTCTATAGCAAATTTTAATGTTAATCTGCAAGATTTAAGCTTTATTTTTAGTGATGTCAATAACTTGTGTGTGATCCTGGGTATATCTCTGTCTACAATTGAAAGTGGTTTACAACCTCTTTATTTTGAGAACTTCTAGAATATCTGCAAATATCACTGCATTTATTTTCATGATCTTCCAAGTTAAGTAATGTATATATTCTCTTTTTTCACTGAAGAACCTATGGGGGGTGAGGGAACTAACAAGATCAGAAGCCAATTTAGGACTAAAATCCAAGACTATATTTATTTATAATTCAGTATAATTTCATAAACTGTACTGTTTTGACAGTAAAGAATTAAGCTTTCTTTGTATAGATTATTTAGGAATAGTTTTTTTTTAAATACTCAAAATATAGCATTGAAATATTTAGACTGTATTCCTATGGTGATTCTAGGCAAATAAAACATTACGTAGAAGTAAAGTACTCACTTATGTTAGGTAAATTAACACTTGAAGGGAGTCCAGGGAATCATTTAGTTCTTTTGGAATAGGTAGTTATCCCCAGTTGTAATGTTTCAGGTGCCTGAAAGAAATTAATTTGCTTTACTTGGATGAGCACTTTATTCCCAGGAAAGGTTCTTACTCACCAGGATGATAAAAATAAAGCCTACTAAGTGACAACATTTATGACTTAGGTCTAGATTATATGAAAGATTGAAAATGTTTTAAAGATTATATTGTCTACTTATATTATAATACTAGTTTGGAATTTTGCTAATATTGGCTATAATAGTATAGTCTTTATGTAGAGTGCATGTAAGAACCAATATGACCGCATAGCATGTCTCTGGGTGTTTCAAGTTCATGGTTTAGGTAGAGTAATAGAAGACATTTTTTATATAAACATATGATATAAACATTTTTTAGTGTCCTAGAAAAGACACCATCTCTTATAGAACTACAATGTCATGAAAGATGCCTAGAAAACTTTTAGAATACAAAACCTATTTAGGATGCTTATGCCATTGTAAGTAATAATTATAAGAGAGTGGTATGGTAGATGCTATGAATTAATTACATGATTTGAGGGCTTAATGTATAAAATAACTTGGTTTTTGTTCTATATTGTCACAACATGACAAAGCTAAGATGAAAGTAATTTGGTGAAGTTTAACATTATGGTCATTATTGGAAAATGAAAACCTTCATATATATGCATACTTGATCTTATTATTTGAATTATGTACAAAATATTTCTATTAATGTGTTATCTTTTTATGTCTAATATCTAAATTAATTTTTCTCAATATATCACTTAAAAATTTTGAAAGTTAATTAAAATTCAGTGCTCATGAAAATTCTTTTTTTCAATGAAAGGTTACAGAAGAATTAGAAAAGGTAAAACAAGAGATGGAAGAAAAGGGCAGCAGCATGACTGATGGTGGTAAGTACATGTTCATTTTAGGGAGAAAAGGAAGCAAAAGAAAGCTAGTTCTTCATGAAGTCTGTTTAATAAAGTGGTAATAATAAATAGAAGTGTCTGTTTTTTTAATGAACTTTCTTACTTATTTCAAAACTAGTACATGGTACAAAAATGATGTCTGATAATCAGTATATTATGTTTTTTACAAAATAGCTGGGAAGAGTGGTAATTTTTTTACTATGATTTGGGGTTCTTTTTAATTAAAATTGTATTGATTCAAAAATAGAGTGGGAAATATTTAAGTATGTACTTTTTTCTGCCAATTTAAAAAATAATGTTTTATTCTATTTTCATCAAATGAGTTTTATTTTTCCATGAGACATAGAAAAAAAAGTACTTGTATATGCCCAAATGACTCTAAAGCAATGAGGGTGGTAACCTTTTTTTTTTTTTTCTTTTCTTCCCCCTGACTGGGCAGGGTCAAATAGAGAAGAATTTTAATAATCTTCAAAAAATTATCCTCCATTCTGAGCTGATGATGATTACCTAAAGCTTTTCTATGCCCTAGAAAGACTTTCTAGAGTTCTAATGATATATACTCAGTGATCTTTCATAAGGGGATATGTAGGGAGTTTGTTGCAGTGTTTTAAATAGGCTCATTAACTGGGCATAGGGGCACATATCTAGCTACTCAGGAGGCTCAGGTAGGAGTTCAAGTCCAGCCTGAGCTAACATAATAATACCTTGTGTAAAGAAAAAAAGAATTATTAAATGGACTCATTATATATACTTCAGAGGCAATTCTCTTCCCTTTTACCTGAAGATCCCCTTTCCTACAGGCAAACATTCTGACCCATAAAATTATGTTCAACAAGTTCTTAAATATCTGCTTAGCACCTTTTCATCTACCAAGTTAAAAAGTTCACCCACCGTACGTTATATATTGCATTCCTCCCCATTCTGAAAACCTCAGGTGTTTAAAATGCCACAGCAAAACCGTGTGAATGTCAGTGAGTTATTAGCTGTGTTTTTAACCCTATTTTTGGCTTGAAACAAAGTGAGGAAAATGTCATGCAACTATAATAAACTGAAACTCTAAATGAACGTTTTTATTCCATGCTATTTTTACTCTACAGCTCCTTTGGTGAAGATTAAACAGAGCTTAACAAAACTAAAGCAAGAAACTGTTCAGATGGACATTAGGATTGGTGTTGTGGAGCACACATTACTCCAATCAAAACTGAAGGAGAAGTCCAACATGACCAGGGACATGCATGCAACAGTTATTCCAGAAGCAGCAATAGGCTCTTATTAAAACATGCAATTTTTCATCCTTCTGATTAGTTTTTTTATGTCAAATTATATTTCATGCTGCAGAGGTTTCTAAAACACAATTATACCTCTTAAGCATGTTCAGTGGGTATTTTTTGCATATATATATACGCACACATATTGTATCATGGTGATTATGATGGTTAAAGCCTTTATATTAAATATAATGTGTAATAAAGTAATTGAAAATTTTCACATTCAAAGAAGCTTTCACTAGTCATTACCTATGTCAAAACTGCAACTTATTTTTCTGAGCATTCCTTGTGTAAGCCAATGTGTATGACCCAAGCTTTCTGTAGACACTGCTGCTGTCACTACCTTGACTATTGACATAAGGCTGGCTCCTTTACTTTGATCCAACTCTGCAGTGACCACAAGTGCCCAAAGGCAGCTAAGAATAGGTGGTGGAATCTTATATGAACCTCAATTACCCTTGCTTTGTTTATAGTTACCTAAAATTACTATTTTTTAAGTATAGAAAAAAATTCAGTATCCCTATTAGCATTTGAAGTTTATTGCTTTTCATGAGTAAGGCTACTGATGAACTAACTAGAATGAGGAAAGGGTAAGTATGTGCAGATCTCAGCCTCATCTTGTCTCTGGGGCTAGCTGTGCTCAGGAGCCATTCAATAGAAGGAGCCCTGGCAGCTCACATGAAGATCAGCATCTGGTACTAGTGATCTTTACTTATGCATCTTTCTGAGAACTTTTTGAACTAAATTGGTAAAATAAGCAGATTATAGTGTCAGCCTTAGAATGGAAAAAAAAAAATAGTTAGGGGATCACAAAGCAGGAAATGGCTCACATTATTTTCTTTAAATAAAAGGTGGCCATTATTTTCTTTAAATAAAAGGCACCAGTGGTAAATTTTGATAAAAATGCTTTGTGTTCAGGACAACAGAAATAATTAAATCTCATTATTTTTAATCTTAATAGTTTTCTTCCTTAAATCTTATTGTTTTCTTAGCATTTTCTTTCTAAACATGTATATACTCCAACAAACAAACAAACACACACACACAGACACACACTATTCCTTTTCATCAAACTCTCTATACTGTAAGTTTAGATAAGAGAAAATTGGTGTGTATAAACTATTACCCGAGAGGGTGACAATCGATACAATGACAAATAAGTTAGTTTATTTAATTTGTAAAGAAGGGAAGGATCCATAGTGGGATAACAGGCAGTATGAAAGTCTGAAATTGTCTTCTTCCTCTGTGGTCGTTGAGAGAAGCCAGTTTAAAAAATATATATATATATGATCTGTTGTCCTGGAAACTTACTTGCATAGGTATTGTCATGGCTGAGCATTGTTTTGATGAACTCAACCCTCCTAGATAAATCAGAGCTCTCATTAAAATGTTTTTGCTCAGAAGCAAAGTACACAATTTTGTGCAAAAAAACTACAAACTCTTGCAGTGTATGAGCAGCCTATTTTTATTTCCTTTTTTGGAATTCGTTTTCACTCAGGTTGTCTTTTCCCATAGAAAACTGTTCATACCTTGAACTTCACTACATTGTGATTGATACGTTCTTCTGTCCCCCTAATAGACTAAGCTGCTTGAGAAGAGAGACAAAATCATTTTCATTTCATATTCCTAACCAAGTATCCACACATAGAAAGTGTCCAGTAACTTGAGTTAGTAAGCAGATAGGCAGGTGACTGGCATTATACAATTCTGGTAGAAACTTCTAGCTCCTGTTCTATAGCTTGAAGAATTCAATGACTTTAAGCCTATGTGCCTTATGTAGTTTCGAGACTAATTTAAAACTGTTTCCTGTGATATTATATTGAAAATGGAAGAATGCCTATGAACTGTTTTTTATACAATAGGCAAATACAATAAGCCTATATAGTTTATAAACAGAAATATTTATAAATGTATAAATAAACATATACTCATCATGTATTTTCTAGTTCTGTTCTTTGAGAGGGTCTAAAAACAGTTACTGCCCAACAACAACTTATATGCAATACCTAGTACTCAGATCTTGGAGTCTAAATGCTCTATTTAAAAATCCCAGAAGCTTGGGAGGCTGAGGCAGGGGGATTGTAAATTCAAAGCCAACCTCAGCTGCTTAGCCAGGTCTTAAGCAACATAGTGACACCCTGTCTCTAAAGAAAATATTTTAAAAGGTCTGGGGATGTGGCTCAGTTGTTAAGTGCCCCTGTGTTCAATTCCCAGTTAAAAAATAATAATAAGGACTTTTTAAGGAAAAAGTCTGATTTATGGGCTGGAATGGGCTGGAACAGGGAAAGCACAAATTAGCCAAAACTTTCTTGCTCTGCCAGAAAGTAAGGAAGTACTTAAAGAATGATGGGGAAATGTCTAAAGCCCACAGCCAGATTCTGGGACAACTTGAGCACCAAAGTGAATCATTGTGAAGAATTATAACCCATAGAATAATCATGAGTCCATACAATTATAAGTAAGAGAATGAATAACAGCTAATTCACTTGACATTATGTCAAATGTCATAAAAATAACAGCTAATATCATTTGGCATTATGTCAAATGTCATTGATGTCTACTCTTTGTTTAGAAAATCACCACCTGAGGGGGGATAGTAGAGGATAGGAAAGGCAGCAGAATACAACAGACACTAGTATGGCAGTATGTAAAAACGTGGATGTGTAACCGATGTGATTCTGCAATCTGTATACGGGGAAAAAATGGGAGTTCATAACCCACTTGAATCAAATGTATGAAATATGTCAAGAGCTATGTAATGTTTTGAACAACTAGTAATTTTTAAAAAAGAATACAAAGGAAAAGAAAAGAAAATCACCACCTGACAATGACCATAGTGAATTGTCTTGGGTG